AGAAACTTGATGATGGCGTCTTCATCTGCTTCTCCTCATGTGATCAGTAAAAAGCCTGGGGGAGAGAAGTCCCTGGGCCAGCCGAACCTGTGGGGGGAGAGGGAGATCTGGGAATGGGAGAGCTTAGTACTACCTTCAGAAGCCTGGACTTCACTGGGTACCTCTTAGGCTAGACCAGGCCACAGTAGATCCTCAAGGCAACACAAAGCAGATATCATGGTTCCATTTTACCGATGAGTGAATGGAGGCTCCCAGAGGTGAACCAGACATTTGGAGTCTGCCCGGAGCAGATGTGCTCTCCTCATGTCCCCAGGTCCCCTCCACGCACCAGCAGCCCAGCACAGGGCCACCTGGCTCAGACAGGGGGTCCTTCCACACCTTGGAGCATGCCCCTTGATCAGCAGAGGTTCTGAGATGAAAACCACTCAGGGGAGGAGCTGGGGTTAGGGGTGGAGCTTGGCTAGCATAGGCAAGGCCTTAAACTTCCATTCCTAGCATAGCAAGGAGGAAAACAAAACAAAAACAAAGAAAACAAGAGTCTAGTTTTCTAGCCTGGGCCTCATAGTAAAGGTGGAACTCCAGGGATTCTGGAAGAAGGCAAGGCTGAGGGAAGTAACAGGGATAGAAGAGCCGATGGTAAGCCATGGTGCCAGGGGCATACGCCTATAATCCTAGCTACTAAGGAGGCTGAGATTTGAGGATTGTGGTTTGAAGCCAGCCCAGGCAGGGAAGTCCATCAGACTCTTATTTCCAATTAAACTACAAAAAACTGGAAGAGGAGTGGTAGTTCAAATGGTAGAATGCTAGCCTTGAGCACAAAAGCTCAGGGACAGAGCCCAGGTCCTGAATTCAAACCTCAGGACTGGCAGCAAAACAAAACAACAACATCAAAAACCAATCATATTCATTGCTAGCATTTCTAAGCATCTTGTAGGTGTTAGATAGTGTTCCAGCACTTTCCACGTATGATCAGCCCTTTGAAGATAGACAATGATCATTGTCTCAACTTTGTTGTTGGAGACTCAAAAACACAAGTTAAGTAACTTGACCAAGGCCACACAACTAGTAACCAGTCCAACTGGGATTTGGACCTAGGCAGACTGGATGCAGGAGCTCACCCTCTGTTTCTGTGCAGATGACTTCTACCCCTTGGCCTCTGCTTCAGTGATCATGAGCCCATCGAGTGGAGTTTTAGTTGGCAGAGTTACATGTCCTCCTTCCCTCTGATTCCATTCCCACATCTCCTTCCCAGGCACCATTGTCCAACCAGGAGTTGTTTTTTGTGTATGTGTGTCAGTACTGGGATTTGAACTCAGGATCTGGGAGCTGTCCCTCAGCTTTTTGCTCAAGGCTGGTGCTCTACCACTGGGACCACACCTCTACTTCTGTTTGTTTGTGTTGTTGGTTTTTTTTTTTTTTTTTTGGTCCGGTTGTGGGGCCTGAACTCTGAGCCTGGGCGCTGTCCCTCAGCTCTTCAGCTCAAGGCTAGCGCTCTACCACTTGAACCACAGCGCCACTTCCGGCTTTTTTTTTTTCTTTTTGCTTATGTGGTGCTGAGGAATCGAACCCAGGGCCTCAGGCATGCAAGGCAAGCGCTCTACCACTGAGCCAACTTCCCAGCCCCCGTGTTATTGGTTTTTTGCTAGTTAATTGAAGATAAGAATCTCAGGGACTTTCCTATCCAAGCTGGCTTCGAGCTAGGATCCTACAGCCTCAGCCTCCTGAGTAACTGGGATTACAGGCATGAGCCGCCAGTCCCAGGACTAGGAAGTAAATTTAAAGTTTAGGGCACCTGCTGCATTACTTCTGAGCCTGTCTGAACAGCCCTTGGTGGCCTCTGCTGCCACCACCTGGTCATAAAGAGGTAAGGCAGGTCCAGTGGGTATTTTTCAGGGTTCCCTCTGTGTAACATCAGCCGCCCATCTGGGCTGTTGACTCTCAAACCTTTCTGTCTTCTGAGATCTAGGTCTGTGAAGACCAATACAAATGTCTCTAACCCTCCAGCACCTCATCACTTCACTCAGGTTATATGGAGACCAAGCACAGAGCAGCTTAGTAGTTGCTAAGCCTGGCGGCTTAGTTGGTGTTCATTCACAGTGCCCCAGTAAGCACTGCTTTTCCAGCTACACAGCATGAGACATGGGTGCAGTGAAGATGAGCATCCCCAGGGGAGAAGATGCAGGTCTGCCCATCGCATGCTGGCTGGTGGCAAAGGCAGGAGGCAGACCCAAATCAGAGCATGCTATGCCACTTTTCAGGGCCTGGGGAAAGGACATGGCCTCTAAGCCACACAGAAACGGAAGTGTGATAGAAGTTGAAGGGGTAGCAGGGCGCTGGTGGCTCACACCTGTAATCCTAGCTACTCAGGAGGCTGAGGTCTGAGGATTAGGGTCTGAAGCCAGCCTGGGCAGAAAAGTCCTTGTGAGACTCTTACTCCAATGAATCACTTTAAGTGGTAGAGTGCTAGCACAAAGAGGCTCAGGGACAGCAACAGCACTGAGTTCAAGCCCTACAACAGACAAAAAAAGAAGAAGAAGAAGAAGAAGAAGAAGAAGAAGAAGAAGAAGAAGAAGAAGAAGAAGAAGAAGAAGAAGAAGAAGAAGAAGAAGAAGAAGAAGAAGAGGAAGAAGAAGAAGAAGAAGAAGAAGAAGAAGAAGAAGAAGAAGAAGAAGAAGAAGAAGAAGTCATCGAAGGGGTGGCTGGAAATCTGAAGATCATGATTCAAAGCCAGCCTGTGCAGAAAAGAATTTTTTTTCCTCCCCCATTTTGGTCTTGGGGCTTGAACTCAGAGCCTGGGTGGTGTCCCTGAGCTCTTTTGCTAAAGGCTAGTACTCTAACACTTTGAGCCTTAGCTCCACTTCTAGTTTTCTGTGGTTAATTGGAGATAAAAGTCTCAAGGAGGGGTTGGGAAGGTAGCTCAGCAGTAGAGTGTTTGCCTTGCATGCATGAAGCCTTGGGTTCGATTCCAGCACCACGTAAGCAGAAAAAGCTGGAAATGGAGCTGTAGCTCAAGTGGTAGAGTGCTAGCTTTGAGCTGAAGAGCTGAGTGACAGCACCCAGGCCCAGGGTTCAGGCCCATGACCAAAAAAAAAAAAATCTCAAGGACTTTCTTGCCCAGACTGGCTTTGAACTGTGATCCACAGATCTCAGCCTCTAGAGTTGCTAGAATTATAGGCATGAGTCACATGCAAATCCTGTCTCTAATTAACAAGCAACAAACAAAAACAAACAAACAGAAGTGGAGGTGTGACTCAAGTAGTAGAGCTCCAGCTTTGAGTAAAAAAAAAAAAAAAAAGAAGAAGAAGAAGAAGAAAAGGAATGGAACAAAGGGAACAGACAATGAAGAGGCGGGGGGGGGGGTGGGGGGTGGGGGGGGGGGAAGAAGCGTGAATACTTTGGAGACCTCTTAGAGATATAGACTCCTGCATGTTAGCCCGCCACCTTGTGTTTGAGCCACCCTCAAAGCTAAAAATAATCTTTTTGGTATTTTGGTTAGGAATTGAATCCAAGAAGCCAGACAAAAATTTTCATTTTTTTAATGGTGAAAAGATAATCCAAAAAGAAACTGTTTTCAGGGCAAAGGAAAATGACCGGAGTTTCCAATTTCAGTGCCTACAAATAAAGTTTAATTGACATGCAGCCATTGTTCATGAGTGCTCACTCACTGATACATTGTCTCTATGAGGTGAGTAGTCGTGACCGAGACAAAGCTGAAAACATTTAGTATCTGGCTTTTAGCAGAAAAGTTTGTACCCCCTACCCTACAGGAAAAGGGTCACAGGCCCCAGGGAAGGGAATCGATCTTTGACAGAGGAGCCACAAAGGCATAGAAGGGAAGACCTTTGGAGACCACCTGCTTTAATGTTGCCATGACAAAATTTTCTCCAGCTTTGTTTCTATATTTTCCTTGCCAGTGGTTTTGCAGAGCTGGCTCCACTGAATGGACATGAAGCCTTGAAGTGATTCTCTGCTTCTAAGCCTTAGACTATCTGTACAAAGGGAATAATAATGCAGACCTTGGAGGCTTGTTGAGAGCACTGTATGATGACCAAGTTCATACCGTAGCTGGTACACGCTGACATTTCTGCCTTGATCCTGAGGACTGGCCACTACAAAGTGGGTGCACCTCCCATCTCTGTCCACTAGAGGGCAGGAAGGCTCAGCTGGCCACCTGGAGGTGTCAGATGGAGCTGGTCTGCAGGTGGCTAGGCCTGGGGAGAGGCTGTTTACAACTCTGGCCTTTGATCAACTCCTGTTCTCCCCACAGCCCGCTGAGGGCCAGGCTGGTGCCGAGCTTCCCACTGGGGGTGGGCCAGGCTTCCTTCTAGCTCTTTCTCTGTCTCCCAGGGACAAGACAGACAGAGGCCAGGTCACTAGGTCTGTTTGCTCAGTGTGGCAAAGCCCTTTCTTGCCCACATCTCACAGGCTTCTCCAGGCCCGCAGAGCAGGTGGCTTAATGCCACCTGGGAAACTGAAGCTCAGAGAGGCTCTGTGACTTGCTGGAGTCTCCACAGCTGGCCAGCAGGGTGGCTGGGATGGAGCTGCTGAACTTTCCTGTGTTATGGCTTTCTGGCCTGGCCCATTAATGGCTGCACTCTTACCAAGAAAGCCCCAAGCTTCTCTCCCCACTCTGCCACTTCTGAACCCAAAGTCCATGGATTCACGAGTCAGATAGCCACTGAGACTGCAGGATGCAGCAATCAGGGGAAGGAGGCCTGGCAGCCATGACAGATGAGCAGGCCCCAAAAAACCACTCAGGGTCTATACAGGAGTCAAATGGAGGCAGATCACAGGCAGCTCTTGGAGGTAAAATGGGAGCCAATAAAGTTAGAGGCCTCTGATCCACAGAGCTGTGGCTGTCAGGGGGAAGGAGGCAGATTTGGTCGTTGGGGCAATGGGAAGACACGGAAGGCTGTTGAGCAATGGAGTTGCAGGAAGCTGATTGACAGGGACAATTGGGAGCCATGCATGGGGCGGGAGCACAGGAGGAGGTTCCTGTAATTCAGGCTTAAGCGGACTGGAGACAGCCCAGGATGGAACGACCTGAGAGTCAGGTACCTGGTTTGGGCCTTGCTATGTATGAGGGGGAAACTGAGGCCTTCAAGTAGAAATGTTCTGTCAAGTTGGGCATAGTGGTGCTCATCTATAATCCCAGCACTCAGGAGGCTGAGGAGGGAGGATCACAAGATCTAGGCCAGCTGGGGACACATAATGAGAACATGTCAAGAGAGGGAGGGGGTGCAGGAGGGAGGTGGGAGGGGTAAACATCTGAAGAGCTTTCTCGTGGCAGGACACTTGCCTGGCTCGTGGGAAACCTGTGGGACCATGGAGGAGGGAACGGCCACACAAGAGATCTGAATAGCTGGGAGATGGAACCTAGTCCTCAGAGAGAGGCAGGCAGCACAAGGCGGAGGGCTGCACCCGAGGCCCAGGGGCTGCACTGGGCCTCCTCAGCAGCCCTGCGGCAGGGAGGCACAGCTGCTTCCCATAGCTCGTGGCAGCCACTGGCTCTTCCATTCTGGCTCTTCTATGGGGTCCGTGGGCTTCTTCTCCCCAGACCCAAGGAAGAGCAGGACAGGACAGGGCTTGGGCAGGCTGGGACAGAAGTGCGCATATGAACACAGGCTGTGATGCCAGCCCCCGGGGACCCCCTGGGAGCCAGGCCGAGGCCCGACCAGGCTGAAAAGATGAGGGAGAAGCAGAGAAACTTGACCAGGTGCCAGCCATGGAGCTGCTCCCCCAGCCCCCGCCTGAACACTGTGACAAAGCAAAGGCCGTTTGCTGCTTAAGCCAGCTCCGGAGATGTTTCTGTTTCTGCAAATGGAAGATTCCTACCTCACCGGGAGGAATGTGGGCTGCTGGTAATTAGGGAGAGGAGCTCAAAATGGAGGGAGGGATGAAAAACACGGAATACTGACTTAGATCAGAGACACTTTGAAGCCTAAAGACGGTGACTGAGGGTGAGAGAACCTTCCGGAATCAACAACCCTACACCCCAGACTCAGGCCCCACCATCTAATCTGTACCTCAGCAGGGGAAGGGAGCTGGATACTTGACATGCTACTCATATGGGGGGGGGGAGCAGCCTGGGGGGAGGACCATCCTGGGGCTTGAACTCTGGGCCTGGGCGCTGTCCCTTAGCAATTCAGCTCAAGGCTAGCACTCTACCACTTGAGCCACAGCACCACTTCTGGCTTTTTCTGTCTATGTAGATGGGGGGGGGGGGGGCGGGAGGCAAGTAGAAATGGCTGCAGACATGCATACCATCAGCCATGCATTGCTCCCCAGACCCCCAGGATGGGGGTCTGGGAACCAAGGGGCACTGCTGAGGGCTCAGGCCCAGCCTTGGAGACCCCAAGCTCAGTGGCAGGTCAGCCACAGGACCAGGCTTAGCATCCAGAGCGCTGCCAAACCCTGTGCACCCCAGGACTCGCTCCCTGCACACACACACACACACACACACACACAGCCCTCTAGGACCCCAAGGCCAATTGACTTGACCATCGTCTCCTATGGAGAAGACCGCTGAGGTTAGAACCACCACTCACAATCCATACAGAGGGCGATCGACCTCTGTGCCAGGGGAAACCAGACTGGAAAAGTCCCATGCTACCCATGGAGGACCTCAGGGGCAGACAGGAAATGGGGGAGGGCTGGCTGTGCCCCTTCCCTGGCTGCCTGCTGAGAGGTGGGAGCCCTGGCATCGGAAGGCGAAGGGGTGGGGACTCCAGGACTTCTGTATCCAGGGCAAGCACTGGGGCTTTCCAAGGCCAGTGGCCCTTGGTGCAAGCCCAGGATCCCTCCCTCACCGCCCCCCTCTTGCACAGAAGGCAGGGGTGGGGAGGGGCTGCTGGGCTGTGGGCTGCTCAGGTGTAAGCTCAGGGCATCACAGGCCCCCTCTCCTGACAAGTTCTCTCTGGAGTTCTGCAGCCCTCCCCAGCCCTCCCCCAGCCACCCCCCCCCCCGCCATGGACTGGGGGGGGGGTCTCCCCTTTGTACCTCCTTCTTCCTGCCTCCACCATCCCACATCCTAGTGTATCCCCTCCACCGCCGCTCTCCTGGCAGGATCCTTTGCCCCTAAAGGGCCAGTCTGGCCAGTTCTCTTGCCTTAAAACCTCCAGGGTCTCCCAGCCCTGGAAGATCCCGGAAGCTTCTTCACATGCTCAAAAGGACATCCTTGAAGCAAGGAACCTAAATGCTGCAGTCAGACTTTCTGGGTCCAGATCCTGCCTGTGACTTTCGAGCTGTTGATTCAGGACCAACGACTGCACAGTGAGCTTTTTGGTGTAAAAGCTCTCAGAACCAGGTCCGCTCCTCCAACCTCTGCCTCCAGCTCCCTGTCCTCTACCGGCCTCGCGGCTGTAGCCGATCTCCTGGTTGCCTACAACTGATTTCTTCAAACGAGGAGCCTTCAATTCCCTGCCTTCTTGCACATTCCTCCCTCCGGGGCCCCCTCCTGCCTGTGGGGCACACGCCTGGTCCTGGTGCCAGGCCGGAGAAGAGGTGGAGTAAAGAGGTGGAGGAGGTTGTCTGAGAACTCTGCATGGCAGCTGGAGTGTTTAGGGAGGGAAATTTGTGGGTTTCATGCCAGTCTTAGGGGTGCTTGTCAACTTCCCTCCCCCATACCCCGAGTCCTCTCTACTTCCACAGGCCACAGGACGGGGTAAAGGACAAAGCCTGCAAGGGACTGTGCACAGCCTCTTAGGCTTTGCCTTCCCTGTGGGACTGTTAGAGGCCCGAGGCCCGAGGGCTAGGTGGAAGATAGGAAGACCTGGTAAAGAGAGGTCTGGCTACGGTGCCAACTTTGCTCAGGCCTCAGGGGCTCCTACACTCCTGGGGACCCTGTTCCTAATGCACTTCCTCTGCTGAAGTCCTAAGTGTCCCCTTCCATCGCTCTGCCACATTAGTGCCCTGAGCACACACAATGGGTGCTTCGCTCCTTCCTGGGCAATGCGTCCACTCTGTCTCCTTTTCACCCCACACACATCCACACATCCAATAACCTTCCTTTGTTGTTGTTGTTTTCTTTCTTCTTTCTTTTTTTGCTGGTCCTGGGGCTTGAACTCTGTCCCTGAGCTTCTTTTACTCAAAGCTAGCTCACTACCACTTTGAGCCACAGCTCCACTTCTAGTTTTTGAGTGGTTTATTGGAGGTAAGAGTCTCATGGGGAATTTTTTGCCTGGGTTGGCTTCAAATTGTGATTCTCAGATCTTAGTCTCCTAAGTAGCTAGGATTACAGATGTGAGCCACCGGCACCTGGCTATTTTTGTTGTTGGTGTTGGTGGTGGTCATGGGGCTTGAACTCTGGGCCTGGGCGCTGTCCCTCAGCTCTTCAGCTCAAGGCTAGTGCTCTACCACTTGAGCCACAGTGCCATTTCTGGCTCTTTCTGCTTATGTGGTGCTGAGGAATTGAACCCAGGGCCTCATGTATGCAAGGCAAGCGCTCTACCACTGAGCCACCTTCCCAGCCCCCACACTTTCAAAAATTATTGTTATTATAAAGTGATGTACAGAGGGATTACAATGATAGGAATTGGGTAATGAGTACATGTCAGGACCTTGTACAGGATCCTGTTCAGCTTTTTCTATCATGGCTGATGCTCTACCACTTGAGCCATGCCTCCAGCTCTAGATTTTTGCTGGTTAATTGGTGATAAGAGTCTTGTGGACTTGCCAGGGCACCTCTGACTTCCTCATTCATCTTGGTACCCCAGTGCCTGGCTCAGGGCCTGGCTCTGAGCAGGCAGGCCAAAAATATTCATGAAATCACGGCTGCATTAAGCGGCGAGTGAGCGTGCATCCACCGTGGGCTAGTGTGGGCAGGCCTCCAGCTGCCTGGAGGTGGGCGGGTCTTCTCTTTGTTTAGGGTCTGTGGGAAGATGTCGGGGTGGCAGGAGGTCTGTCTGGTCTGCCTGATCCGCGTGCCCACACTTCTGCCTTTCCTGCTCACAGATCCCAGGGTGCTGTGGCCATCTGCTGGGGCTGGAAGGGGCTGGAAGGGCGGCCTGGCCTGCCAAGCAGGTTCCGGGGAGAGTGGGAAGCCAGCCTGGAGGATTTACTGTGCTGCCTCTGAGCTCTGGGTTCCAGGAGTAAGGGGGGAGGGCCCCACGGCGGGGGTCAAAGGGCAGAGCAGGCAGGCAGGAGCCAGGGTGCCCCTGAAAAACTCTGGGGTTCCACAAGAGACAGGGTGGTCCTGACAGCTACCAAGAGGAGGGGGAGGAGGCCCGTGCCTGTGGGGCAGGACTTGGGGTGTCAGCAGAACCCCGGCCAGGCCCTTTGCACTCCAGGGTGAAGGGGGAGGGGGAGAGGCGACAAAACACATGGGAACTGGGCGGGGCGGGGGGGGGGGGGGGGGGGGGGTTATGGGCTAAGTCACTACAAGAAAGAGTCTGTTCTTCTCAGGGACAAGAAAGGTACAGAGTGCTGGTGAGGGCTTGGGGTGAAGACTGCACCCCTGTTCCCTACTCCTGCTCAGAGATGGGCTTCATTTCTCCTCACAGCCCACGAAATGGAGGAATGGGACCAGCAGGCCATGCAGAGCTGAGAATGCTGGTGGAGCTGCAGGGAAGAGTGTCCTGCAGGGGGACAGTGATCCCAGGGGGCCCGGAGCCAATAGGAGGGGTGACTCCACACCCCTGGAGCCTGGAGTCAGTAAGTTCGTGCTACAGTCCACTCAAGAACAACATGCTAAGTGCACACTCAACCATATGCACACACACACACACACACACACACACACACACACCCCTCCTTACAAGCTGACAGCCATGGCCGTCCTGTGTGACTGGGATTCCAGAGGGCATGAGCAGGCGGTGACTGAGGACCAGCTTGGGGAATGAAGCTGGAAGTTCAATCTGACGATGTTCATTTAGTCATTCAACATGTGTCTCGCTATCAATTTCTAGGGATCTTAGTTTGGGCTTCCCATGACCTAGACCTTGAGAGAAGGCCTTAAAAAGAAAAGTAATTAAAAAGCACAATCGAGAGAAGAGTCAAGTATAATTTACTCTTTAAAGTGTACTTAGTGGTATTAAAAAAAAAAAAAGAATACTCACAGAGTTATGCAACCATTGCCACAATTCTAGAATCATTCGTCACCCTGTAAAGAAAGCCCACTCCTATCATCGGTCCTTCCACATTCCCTCCCTTCGTCCTCTGGCAACCTTAAATCTATTTTTGTCTCCATAGATTTACCTGTTCTGTACATTTCACAGTGGAATCGAGCCAGGCACCAGTGGCTTACACCTGTAATCCAAGCTACTCAGGAGGCTGAGATCTGAGGATTGTAGTTCAAAGCCAGCCTAAGCAGGAAAGTCCAGAAGACTCTAATCTCCAATTAATCACCAGACAAACAGAAGTGGAGCTGTAGCTCAAAGTGCTAGAGCGCTAGCCTTGAGTAGATAAACTCAAGGACAGTGCACAGGCCCTGAGTTCAAGCCCCCTGACCGACAGAAACAAACAAAAAAGGAATCATATGCTTATGACTGGTCTCTTTCACTGAACATAATGTTTCCAAGATTATATGTTTTAGCCTTCAGCATTTTGTTCCTTTTTATGGCTGAGTAATATTCCGCTGCATCAATGCACTGTATCTGAATGTCTGTTCATCAGCTTCCACTTTGAGGCTATGATGAACTCTGCTGCTCTGAATATTTGCGTACAAAAAATGCTTGTTGGAACATGTGCTTTCTGTTCTCTTGGGTATTTACCTGGGAGTGAAAATGCTGGGTCATATGCTAACTCCGTGTTTAACATTTTGAGACACTGCCAAACACGTTTCAAAGCATCTGCAGCATTTTACATTCTCACCAGCAACATATGAAACCTTCCAATTCTAGGTAAGCTTTCACCGAAGAGCCAGGCTCTAGTGGCTCATGCCTATAATCCTAGCTACTCAAGAGGCTGAGATCTGAAGAGTGAAGTTCAAAGGCAGCCTGGACAGGAAAGTCCATCAGACTCTGATCTCCAACTAATCAGCAAGAAGCCCGAAGTCGAGCTGTGGCTCAAGTGGTAGAAAGCCAGACTTTAGTGAATAAGGGACTAAGCCCAGGTTCTGAGTTCGAGCCCTAGGACTGGCATACATGCGGGGAAGAGAGGGGAGGCAGCCTGCGAGGAATCACTACCAGCTGATGCCCACAGAGAGGCTGGGGAGCCAGCATAGAACCTGTAATTCCTTCCGACTCACCCTACCTGAGGGGTAAGGGGGAGCCAATACAGCATGGATCCAGCTCCCACCCTTGCTGCAGGAAGCAGATTCAGGTCCTGCCCTCATACACCTTATGCTCCGCTAGAGAGCAACAAACCTGGACGAGCTATCAAGTCAGGTGGCACCCAGGAACATAAAGCCGGGCAGACGGTGGAGGGAGGCAGTGTGAGCTCAGGGCTCCGATGAGATTTCAGCAGAGATCTAAATGACGGGACTGACAGGTGCCTGAAGCCAGCTGTGCAGTCTGCTTTAGAACCTGGGCTTGGGAGCAGGCAGGGCTGAGGTGTCTGGGAGTGCAGAGCGACCTCACGCAGAGCGGCTTCTACGAGGAGCCCTGAGCGGCTTCTGCACAACACACAAGGCCCAGCCTGGTAGGAGATGAGATCAGAAACACCAGGACCTTTATCAAGTCAGGCCAGTTTGGAAAAGTGTGTGTGTGTGTGTGTGTGTCCGCACACATGTGCACGCACACTCTGAAACTTACCATCCTCCTGCCTCAGCCTCCCAAGAGCCAGGATTACAGGTATGCATCATCATACCATGCAACTATTTGGATTTTGTTTCTCCAGAAAACAGGATACCCGGTGGTGACAGCAGGGAATTTCTGATCTAGTTAACCCTTTCACTTCTTGTCACTGAATTACAGAAATACTGAAGCTCTCTGTCCCCAAAACTTCAGTGAGCCTGTGAGACACCCCCCGTCCCCCGGACATGCTAACTCCATGCTACTGGGCCTTTGAATTCAACACCCATTCATTCTGCTTATGTGCTTGCTTCTGCTCAGATTCCCTGGGCACTGAGTTGGCATCTGAGACAGCACTCTCCAGGAAGACAGACAGGAAAGAACATAAATGTGCAATAGAGTCCTCACTGGGAAGCAGAGGCTGGAGGTGCTTAGACTTTTCTTTCCTTCTTTCTTTTGCTTGCTTTCTTCCTTTCTTTCTTTTTTTGTGGTCATGGGGCTTGAACTCAGCGCCTGGGCGCTGTCCCTCAGCTCTTCATCTCAAGACTAGCTCTCTACCACTTGAGCCACAGCACCACTTCTGGTTTTCTGAGTGGTTTATTGGAGATAAGAGTCTCACGAACTTTCCTGCCCAGGCTGGCTTTGAACCATGATCCTCAGATCTCAGCCTCCTGAGTAGCTAGGATTATAAGCATGAGCCACCGAAGCCGGGCTTAGTGCTTAGACTTTTCAAACAGACCATTCGAGGATACTTTCTCCGAGGGTATCAACACTGAGCTGTACCTCTCGGCTCAGCTATCTCCTGGGGACGCTCAGCTGCACCTTTGGAGAAGCTGTCCTTTTCCTTCTTGGCAGGGATCCTGCAATCAGTTAGGGAAGGCCCAGCCAGATCTCCTGAGGAAGAGGGACAGACCCCAGGGACCCCAGAGTAGAGGACAGGGCAGTGCTCCTAGGCAGGCCTAGTCATAATCTGGGAGGAGGGAGAGGCTGGGGGAGGCAGGGTAGGAGAAGGCTGGGTCTGCCAAGCCCCGGGGGAATATTGATGAGTTCTCTGGCCAGAAGTGACGGAGCTGGTGGGGCTGGCATAATGAAGACAGATGATCCCAGGCCGGCTGGGCTGTCTTCCCGCTGGAGGAGCCGAGTCACAGCCCTGGGTGGGGCGGCGCAGCGAGGGCTTGCCAAACGCCCGGGCTGCCCTCTCTTCTGGCATGGCGCCTCTCCAGCTGCCTCAGCTTCTCCACGGACACCCGCTTCCCCTCCCGCCTTAGGCCACTCTCTTCCCTGCTGCCTGCCTTGGTTTCTCTGGTTATGAGGTCCCTGTCTCCTTCGCTACTTTTCTGTAATCTTCCTTCTCCTGTTTTCTCTCCTTTGCCCATTTGGTTTGCAGCAATTCGTTCTTTCCCTGCCCATCCCATCTCCAGCTCCTGACTGTGGCCTTTGGGGCTGCACTCAGCCTTTTTCTGGGGGAAAGACAGTGTCTGTCACCTGGTAATTCTCCAGCCAGCAGCCAGCGCACCCCATTCCATCAGCACTGCACCAAGTGCCCTGCCAGCCAGTCAGGGTACGGAGTGTTATCTTTCCTTCCTTCCTTCCTTCCTTCCTTTTTCTTCTTTCCCCTTCCTTCTTTCCTTTCCTTTTTTCTTTCTTTCTTTCCTTCCCCTCTTCTTTACTTCCTTCCTTCCCTTCTTCCCTTCCCTCCCTCCCTTCTTCCTTCTTTCCCTTCTTCCTTCTTTCTCTCTTTATTTCCTTCCCTCCCTCCCTCCTTCCCTCCCTCCTTCTTTCTTCCTTCCTTCCTTCCCTCCCTCCTTCTTTCTCTCCTCCCTCCTTCCTGTCATCCTTCCTTCCCTCCCCTTCCCTTCTTCCTTCCTTCCATTTGGATCTTGAATGACCCCTAGAGGCTCCTATGTTAAAGGACTGGCCCTAGGGTGGTGCTAAAGGCTTCATAGGTGAAGCCTTTTGGGAAGTCTTTGGGCCACAGGGGCAGGCCCGTGAAGGGTATAGTGGGATTCCACCCCTCACCCCCACCCACTCTTTCTCTTTCTTTCTGTACTGGTTCTCCGTGCTGGTATTCAAGACCTGAGTACTGTCTCTTAGCTTTTTCACTCCAGGCTGGTGCTTTAGCACTTAAGCCATAGCTCCACTTCTGGCTTTTTGCTGGCTAATTGGAGATAAGAGTCTCACAAACTTTCCTGCCTGGGCTGCCTTTGAATCGTCATCCACAGACCCCAGCCTCCTGAGAAGCTAGGATTATAGGTATGAGCCACTAGCTCCCAGCTTAGGCAGTCAGCCGAAGTCAAGTGCTGATCTCACACCACTCAGCTCTATGTGATCTTGAGCAGCCTGGGAAATGGAACCGAAACATTTTAAAGTTCACGTGTTCTTGGAGCATAAGGGGGAAAAATGACCTGCAGTTCTCTAGCTTGATAAATTGCAAAGTACCTCTCACATCTCTCTTTCTATGCCTTGTTCTCAATTGCTAGGGAGTTTGGGATCAGTGTTCAGGAGAGAGATTCATTTGCCAAAGACAGCTGGACAAGCATCTGTCACCACATTCTCAGTCATCTAGATCCTTCTGCCAATGCAATGAGCATTGTTTTTCAGATTCTTACTATCTTTGAACTTGACATATGTCTTATAACCAATGGCTGCGTAGTAATTAGGAATGTTCTCTATTTTTCTCAATGGTTTTATGAAATAATCCTGCTTGGGACAACCAGTGGTTCAAGGTCAGTGGATTATGGTAGACACAGGTCAGTAAATGTCACTACTAATAATGGGAAGTATAAAGCTGATTGCCTAACAGAGCACTTTTGATGGTGGGATCATGGAAGTTAACCCAGATCTTGGCTTGTGGACCTCCCAACTGAATGAATTTGGATGGAATACTGATATCCTTGAGCTAACAACATGTCAACGTCATTTAAAAAATTATGCAGGTACACCTGTGGGCACAAACATGGGTCTAAAACACACGGCTGCTGTGAGAGGGCAGAGATTGGGTGAGAAACCGTGTGTGCACAGCTCTGTGATCTGAGATGCACACTGGAATGCGAGGAGGGGCTGGCACGCTCTCATCTCCCCCGGCTCTGCCTCCCTGCCCCCTCCAGACCTCTCCCATGCGCCAGGAGTCACGTACAAACACAGAATATTTTTACCTTCATTAAAATGGGCCAGATATCGTAATTATGTCCTAGGGAGCAGAGGGCTCCGTTGAAGGGAGGAGGGAGAGGTAGATAAAAGTCAGTTAGACATGCAGCATTCATGAGCCGGGCTAATTGAGCACTCCACTAAGAAGCAGATCTTGGCTACTTGGGGAAGAACACGGGGTTTTGTTGTCCTGCCTCTGCTCTGTCTCCTCTCAGAGCTTTGGATGGGGCTGTGTGGCCTCTAACCTCCCACGGTAGGCCAACCGTCAGCCCCAGGCACCCACTGATCCTGGGGAAATCTTCCTCCTGCTGGACTGAGAGCTGTTTGAGCGCAGAGGCATTTTACAAGTCCCTGTAGAGCACCACAGGGATGAATACAGACAGAGAAGGACCAGGAGCCTGAACCAGGGTCCTCGGTACCCTTCAGACCCCTTCAGGGGCTAGCTTCCTCCAGAATGG